ATATAGCATGTGTATGTAGCCTTTAGAATGACTGTGATATGAGCTTAAAAGTGAAGGCAGTAAAAATACCCCAAAAATGCCTAGGGCCCATAGGGTTAAAAAGTACCGAAATAAGGTACCGTTTGGTACTGGTACCGAATTCCAGATACCGGTACCGGTACCGTATCGGTTCAATTATGAACGGTACCCAACCCTACTGAGGCCCGGGTTCCACCATCCCTCCCCGCGACCACGATGATGCCTCAGTCACCGTCACGACTACATCCCGCAGCTCCTGACAGGTCTTCTGGTGGACACACCCGGAAGGTCCCTGGTAGTCCCGATCCACCGGGTAAGCGCGGCTGCCTCTGTGACGGGCAATGTCCCTGTAGAACGGGAGCAATCCCAAGCCAGAGGTGGGTGTGTTTCAGACCATAAACAGGGCACAGGCTGCAAATGTAGGTATCAGGAGCCTACACCCCTACCGACCCTCCCGTCGAGCTTCTAGAGGCTGATCAGTGCATTGCCCCCGGCACGCCCCCTGTAACCGCCAGCAAGCTGTCGGCCCAGCCTCCATGCCGCGAACATCTACACCTTGTTCCAACACCCTGTGCCCAGACCGACATATGTAACTGCCCAGATAGACAGCCCAGGCTTCACCCCAGACCGCAGAGTGCCGTTTCTGGTATGTTGCGTACGGGCCGACATCTGTAGCCACCATGGCGGACGGCCCAGCCTTCGCCCCGCATAACAACTCCCACTTAAGTACATCAAGCACAGGCTGACATCTGTAACCGCCGAAAACAGACGGCCCAGCCTTCGCCCCGCACCACAGGTGTACTCGGTCGCTGAGTCGCTCCTGGCGATGGCCCAGCTAGAGGCTACTACTTCCAGGTGGCAAGCCACCATTCTACACGCCTTTTAGAGGTCCCCGTCGCCCTCAGGAGAGATAGGGAAACCTCTGGGGCGCCTCAGAATGGGCTACCTTTTCCACCAGGTGGCGCCCGCAGAGTTTCCCAAAGGGAAGGGGGCTCAGAGAGGGCTACCCGGCTACCCCTTCTGGAGGTGGCCGGGCCACCTCCAGAAGGGGTAGCCGGAGGCTCTAAGAGGCTCTAAGATCACACAGGCAGTAAGCCTCCACGCCAAGTCACGGCAGTACCCATGCGGAGGTTTTTTTATTATTATTATTTTTTTTATTTTGTTGTTGTTGTTTTTGTTTTTCAACTTTCATTGAATTATGGTTTATAAAAATATAAAAGCAAACAATACAAAATCAGAACTTGAAATATATACAATTAAGAAAAAACTGTAAAGAACAGCGAACACACACTAAACACACACTACATCTTTTTAAGTACAACAAGGGCCCTCCTTGCCCTAACCATTTTTTGATTTAGAAAAATATAAAAGCAAACAACACAAAATCAGAACTTGAAATATATACAATTAAGAAAAAACTGTAAAGAACAATGAACACACACTAAACACACACTACATCTTTTTAAGTACAACAAGGGCCCTCCTCGCCCTAACTGCTTTTCTTGGGGAAAGCTTCTTTGGTGAGAGCCCCACCTTCTCCTTCACCTTTTTTGCCCAGGCCTGCGATGACATCCTGGCCATCTTTGGTGCCTTCACCTTCGGAAAAGAGAACAGGTACACAATGAGCTCAGTGAATTTGGACTGTTGTGTGATAGTGATTACATGGTTTTCACTTACTCTGCCCTCAGTAGCGGAGGTGGAGGCCGCAGCGGAGGAGGAGGCCGCAGCTGAGAGTTCTGCCTCTTCCTCTCTCAATGACAGCCATATAAACATGTCCCTCATCTGCTTTGCCCTTTTTACAGTTTTGTGCACTGTGGCACATGAAGGACGAGAGCTTCGTCCTCATCTCCTCATCATTAGTTTCAAAGACCTACAAAAGACAAATTCATGTTTGGGTCAGTATGGATTAAATTTACCCCGTGAAAATCAAATGTCAGGTCTCTGTGATACTCACATATGTTGAGACGTCTGTCCTCAAGTCAAGGAGGCTGGGGGAACCTGGGAGGCCCATCTCGGTCCAGGCCTGGCGCACATATCGCACCAGGTCTTTGGCCTCGGCCCGGCCAAACGAGGTGAAGAAAAAATTGTTGAATGGCACAGACTGGTTGCGGAGCCGGAGCCACTGGGTGAACCATCCATACTCCTCCGGCTCCAGGTAAATCTGCG